CCTGAAACAACCAACCCGGGACCAAAGGTACATGGCCCGCTCACAAAACTATGAATAGAACCCGGAATGTTCCTTGCTTCTAAAAGTGCAGCAGCCGCAGAAAGAGCAGCGCCATTACATCGAAGGGGACGTCGACCATCCGGCACACTCCACTCGTCATGCGACAGATCCTCGAGAAGGTTCATTAATGCAAACTCGCACTCGGACAATGGCGCAAGTAATTGGTTGATCACACGTGTCGTCAGTATCGTTGTTAACGACTCGGCGGTGTAAGCCTTTTGTCCAGATAACATATAAGCTCTTGGACATTGCGTCGATGACATGTCATAGACTGAAATGTGTTTGCCGTAGACGATCAACCCGACATGGATTGACTGTGGGATAGTCGCCAATGACAACGAAATCGTCGATTTAAGTGCGTCCAACTCTTGTTGAGGAGCAGTTGTGTCGATTAAGAAGAGTAAAGAAGTTGGTTGTTGTGTTTGTGGCAATGTGACGTATTCCACGGTGGTCGACTGGTAACATCTGGGGTCATTTGGTAATTGATTGCGTGAGTTACACAACGGGCAAATCCAATTTTGGGATTGGTAATCGACTTGACACCATGGGTTAATGATACACCCACACGAACAAGTGATTGGTTGGTTTGTGTATTGTATCTGATTGTTCGTAGTGATTTGGCCTTTAAGTGGTTGGTAGATTAACCCAATTGGAATATCTAGAAACTTCTCAGAATCGCCTTTAGTCGAAGGCCAAACGTTCCACGTTAATCGGACACCATCGATATCTTCTATCTGGTCTGCGTCCATCCCGTGGTTTTCTGGTTTGTCGGTGATTTGTTGTGTAGTGTTTTGGTAATTCTGAGTCATGGACTGTTCTTTCTTTTTTAAGTTCTTAGTCACTTTATAGATTCGTATAATATAATAATTTATTAGATGGATGATATTTTTTCTATAGTAAATGTTACAATAATTATATTATATAAATATTATATTAAATTATAATAATATAATAAAGAAAGTCAAATGTAATTGTTAATGCCAGACTAAAATGACATAATAACTCAGGGTTGGTGGGAGTAGTTTAATAATCTAGTTATAATATTATATATTAAATTACAATAATTTGATATATATTTAGAAAACACGTCACTATTACAAAAAAAACTTATAAGAAAAACCAAAATTAAACCATATTTAATTATAAATAAACCATATACTATTTGTGTATAGAGTTCACTTGTTTCCAATGAAGAAATGGGAATTGGCTGTGTTATTTTAATTGTACAAAGAAACAGAAGTGCAGAATTCAAAAAGAGGGTTTTATGAATAAAAGAAACCAATGAATCAATCCAACTCAAAAAACCTAGACAAATTATGGAGCAAGTGAAGCACGCAATAGCTACATTGTACTCAAATCAATCTGCTCCTGACGATCAAAAAGCAGCCGATCTTTATCTCCAAGACTTTATGAAAAAGAAGGATGCATGGGGAGTTATTCCCGTCTTACTTGCATGTCCATCAACAGGTTTGTGTTCTACTTTATTAGTTGTATTGAGCAGTTCAATAATTTTAAAAGAATAAAATGACGAGTTAACACTCAGATCCCCTCTTTTTTCAACACATCTATTATGGTGCAATAATGTTAAAGAAGAAGATGTGTTACAACTTCAAAGAAGTCTCTGATATCAAGGAGATGTTTACTTTCATCACTCAAATGTTAGTCACATATAAATCAATTCAAATGGTCACCGTTCATTTATCACAAGCCCTCACAGCGCTCTGTGTCCAAAGTGATCAGTGGAGCAATTTCCTTCCACTGATCATCGAGCGGTTCCCAGTTACCATTCCCGAGAACGTTCCTATTCTTTTAATGATCTTTTCATCTGTCGCAGAGGGATTAGACCGCCTTAGTTTCACTAATAAAGACATTCTCTATTCTCTTCGACAAAGCTTAGCGTCGACCTCTTCCCAAATCATTCAATTCATTTGTGACAGTTTCAAGTATGATGCCAAGAAGAGTTACGAATGCTTATCTTCGTGGATGAAGTATGTCAAAATACCATTTCCCGTGTTATTGCAACACAATGTCATTCAAATCATCTTTTTAGGGTTAAAGGACAAAACACTCTTTCAATATGTGACCGACGCTTTTGTGTATTACTGCCGCATTTTAAAGAAGATACCAGTCGAGTGTCCACTCGAAGATGTGGAAACACGAGAGAAAGTGGCTGTAGGTATCCTTAGTGAGTTGTGTACCTCAATTCCTATGTTAATAACACAATATGGTCAAAGTGCTTTAGAAGAGCTTTCGGAGTTCTTTTTGGTGTATCTTCCAGTGTTAACAGAGTACTTAGAAGTGATGCCATTTGATGGCGTCACGAAGTACTTTGTCATCATCTCGCAATTGACATCAATCAAATCGGAGGATATCATGGCGTATATCTTTGAGAGTACAGACTACTTCTTTACACATTTAGCACAAGTAGATGACAAGATGAAGGATCAAGTCACTGCAGTGATCAAAATACCATTCTTACAGATCTTTAAGAACGTTATAACAATTCAAGCCATTATACCAGACGGATTGGATGTCGAAGAACAAGAGGACTTTGCTTATTATCGTCTTAAAACACTTACAGAGTTCTTGAGAGAGATCTCTAGTGTGATAGACATGAAGGACATCTTACTTACCATTGAGATGTGTTTGGCTGGGAGTAATAGTGACTGGCATAAAGTTGAAGGAGCCATCTTTGGGCTTCGAGCGATGGTCAGACTGATAGAGGTGAGCGAGAAGGAGTCAGAAATCGATCAAATAGTTAATCGTCTTATTGGTGTAGTTATCAATATCCACAGCGATAAACTTGAATTGATGCATACAACGATATTCACTGCAGGAAGGTTCTGCGAGTGGATCCACTTGAAGTGTCCGGGGTATGCTCTTAAGGCCATGGATTATATCATGAAGTATGCTGGAGTACCAGAATTGGCGGAGGGGGTGTTTGTGTCCTTTGACAATTTGTGTGACACATGTGCGGATGTCTACCAACAGTGTTTTGAACAACTCACACAAGTGTTTATTACCGTGTATAAAGACGTGGTACCAAATTGGAATGTGAATGGAGATACATACAAACCACTCATCAGCGGGTATGCATCACTCTTGAATAAAAGGAGTCGAGCGGATCAAGACAAGATGCTCTATTATTGTATCAACCCAATTGTTGAGGAACTCAAGAAGTTTACATCAGAAGTACTTGTATGTACTTGTTTGAGTATTATTATGACTTGGCTGAGATACACAAATAAATTGGATATGGGAAGTGGAATTATTGAACTTAGTAACAGAATGAATATGATAGGAGTCATCGAGAGTATTGTGAATAAAGGGATTGACATGAAGAATGAGAAAATAGTTGAGAGTGGAGTGAGTGTAGTTGAGTATTTCTTATATGCAGTTGGGAGTGGTATTTACACTGTTGCGAATGGGATGGTTGAGATGTCTAATAGATGGTGGGAGAGAACACATCATAGTTCTGTTGTTCAATTGTACATTGCGATTATTAAGAGTCTCTTTGTGGACTCTGAACGTGGGAAAACTATGCAACAGACTGGAGAAATAAGAGAATATATATTTAAAGTATCTGTACCTATGCTCGATATGATATTCCAGTATCTGATTGCACAAGACGAACCAGTGTTTGATACAATAATTAACGCATTTGCACTTATCATATACCTTTACTCCGCACTTCCAATGGACTTTGAAAAGACAGTGTTGCACAAACGGGTAGTCCCGTGGGCTTTACACTTCTTAAAATGTCCACAGAAAGATGTTTATGTGAGTGTGATAGACACTTTAATGATGTACTTTGTGACTTGTAAAACTCCATCATCGTCGATTTGTTTATTGCAATGTGGAGAAGACCTCTTGTTTTCTATATTCAGACTTGTTAATGCTTTTCCAACTCGTGAGAGAGTCAACGTCACTATCGATTTCTTGTGGTCTTTGTACACCACTGAGCCGGAAACAGTCACTCAGAAAACACTGAATGTCATTCAAAAGAATTACTCGTTTTTGCCAAATGGAATACTCATTGAGCTTTCAAAGACTAATTTGAACAAGGAGAACTATAAGAATAACGTTGAAGACTTCTTCTATGTATGCAAAGAGTCGTGTTAATTTAATTCCACTGGATTATGTATAGTTGTTTTATAATTCATTACTATAATTGTATAGTTTATTTTTTTCAAGTACCTTTTCGAATCAGAATTGTACTATAAATTCAAATGGTTTCTTGTAATTAATTAAATGTAATTTTTATACTATAGAAAAGCTATAAATTATGAAACCATATTATCATTTTTGAATAATTTTTCACAAAATATTTGAATAACAACTAATAAGTAAATTATTAGTATTTATTAACATCTCCAAAGTATTCTTTATTTATAAAAAGAATAATAAAAAAACATTAAAAATATGAACGTAAAAACGCCTAACTAATTAGTTTTTCAAAAAATATTCAAAGGAGTTGAAACAAAAGAAGGAGTGTTAAAAAACACTTTTGAAGAAGAAAGAACTCGAAATAATCCAATAACTTGAAAAAAGAGCAAATTAATGAAACCCATTCCAACAAGTTTGTTGTTATGCGACACACAAAATTTGCCAGAGACCAAGCGTTAAACACTTAAGTGAGCTTTCGACTACAGGGCGTTATGTTTAACATCAAATTTGTTTCAATGTCGCAGTCGTACAAAACACTTCCACTTGTTACTTTGATGTATTCCAGTGTCGATGCATTAATTTCAAATATATATAGTAACATTAATAAAACATCGAGAGAGAGTGTGTACCTTTCTTCATTTCACTCGGACATGTTTTTAAAGCTAATGGTTCGTATAGAAATCTGTACTAAAGAGGTTTACTTATCTATTCCTTCTGGTCTCAAAAACGCAAGCAATGCGCCTAAAGTCCCCCAACGAAAATTTGCAAAGCAAGTCCTGCCAGATTTCAATGATAGAGGGTACTGGGAAGTGCGACTCAAAGACTTGGCACATGAAGCTCTTCAAAAATTACAAGGGTTTTACTTCGACCAGTCTGCTCTAGGAAATTACTTCTCATTTGACTATACCGACTACTCAACTAATTTCTACGCACTCAAATCAGTGTTTCTCGGCGTAGACATCAATTTATTAACTAAACCACTGTTCGACGACTACGCACAATCACCCGAAGAAACATTCTCAAACGACTGCTCGTCGAGTGAACAGTCTATTACCCCTCCCCTCTCAGGTCAAAGGTGTAAGACTTTACCACCAAATGCCTTTGTTGGGATTTCACAGAACCTGATGAGACCAACTTCACCACGAAACACTCCACGTTTCACGACAAATCAGTCTGTAGTGATACCAAAGGATAACCCTAAAGAGCAAATCATAGTTAGTGTGAAGAATGTGAGGATCTTATTTAGAAACGATGTGTGGGTGGAGCGACAGAATGAAGAACATGACGGGAGGATAGTGGTGACCTCAGCTAAGTTCTGTTTTATCGACTCGAATGATGGGCAATTCAACATTTTTGTTCCACTGACAAAGATCGCCGATCTGAAGAAAGTCAACACAAAGAAGACTGAACATGTCAGAGTGCTTGAATTCTCCACTAAAGAAAATGTCTTTGTCAAATTTTCATTTCTAAAGAACAGACAAGGGAGGAAAAGTGTGTGCACTGCTATCAATGCAACAACCTTCTCGCCACCAATAACTATGAACGTATTTAAATTGTTGGACCTCGAGGTGAAGAGAATTACTTATTACGACGTCTTAGACGAATTCATTCGACTTGGGTTGAATAAGACGGATCAGTGGAGAGTGACCCTCATCAACGACGACTACAAATTTTGCCCGACATACCCTCGCGAGTTGATTGTACCTAAAGAGATCAGCGATGAAGTGTTACTGAAAAGTGGGGAGTATCGATCCCGACATCGCATACCGGTACTTACATGGGTCCATGAGAATGGGGCTTGTGTAGTTCGTTGTTCCCAGCCGATGCCTGGGATAGTCGGGAAGAAGAGTGAAGAAGATATTTCAGTCTTAGAAATGATTGGGAGATGTGGTCAAGTGACAACAAGTAAGTTGCATATATTAGATTCACGGCCGAAAGCGAATGCGGTAGCAAATATAGCGATGGGTGGTGGATATGAAGCGGATGAAGATTATCCGTTTAGTGTGATGGAGTTTGAGAATATTGATAACATTCATGTAGTGAGAGAAGGATGGCAGAAGTTATGTGTGATGTGTATGGGGTTACATCCACAAGACCATACGACTACTGTCACGACATCAATTGAAGTCCAAAATTGGTGGAAAGTGCTGACAACCATATTTGCTTCATCTATTAAGATGTGTCGATATCTTGAGAGTGGGGAGAGTGTATTAGTTCATTGTACTGATGGATGGGATCGAACAAGTCAATGTTGTTCTTTATGTGAAATGATGTTAGACCCGTACTTTAGAACTTTAGACGGGTTCGTCGTCTTAGTCGAAAAAGACTGGAAAAGTTTTGGACATCGCTTTATGACTAGAAGTGGTGTGGGGGCTCATTGCCCACACGGACAATATTCCCCAGTCTTCCACCAGTTCATCGAATGCGTGTTTATATTACTCACTAACTACCCTACCATGTTCCAGTTCAACGAGGAATTTTTACTCGAAATCGATGACGCAGTGTTCTGTGCTAATTATGGAACGTTTTTGTTTGATTGTAGTATGGAAAGGGATCTCAACCGAGTCGATGAAAGAACTCTTTCTTTATGGTCGAATGTCTATGAAAACAGAGAAAGGTTTTCTAATCCACAATACATCAAATCCTCTGATAAAATGCATACATATGGTCTCCCTAAATTTGTGCTTTGGGAAAAGTATTACTTCGCAAACAGAAAATACTAATTACATGATACTTCGAGCATCATGTAGTGGAATCAAATAGAAAGATGTATAGTTTATTTTACTATTAATTAATGATTCTGTTTTATATACCTACTGGTATTACTAATAGTATAAATACCTATTTTTTTTAGTTTTAGTGTAGAGTTAAATTTATAGTAATAATTGTTTATAATTCTACATTCTATATTTATTATTTGAAATAAGTAAAAATTAAAAATAAACTAAATAAAAGTGAGACATTTAAATAAATAGACATTTAAGATCTTCTTATTAATTATTAAAAAAGATTGAAAAAAGGCAATTTTGGGAGATTCTCTCCAAATGTACATTTTTCTAAACCGCATTTTTTTATTAGTAACTTAATAATACATTTAATAATAAGTATTGTAAATAAAAGAAAGTGTTGAAAAAAAGGAATCAAAGGTAAATGAAATCAAAAGATAAGAAAAAAAAAGATTGAAAAATAATCATACACGAAAGCTTCTTTAAATCGGGAAACTTTCCAAACCGAAATACGAAATTTTTTAATTCGATATCAAAATTTATTATAATTATTATGGTAAAACATCGGGTTGTTCCTCAATTTCAATTTCTACGTAATCACTCTTTGTCATGAGTTGAATGACAACAAATCAAATCAACTTTTTTAATGATATTGTTTTCATTGAGTTAGTGTATAAATTATAAATTGATTATATTAACTATTCTTTTACTAATAATTTCTGAATATTATAATAGTAAACTAAATTTTAATAAAAAATAATAAATATTTGTTTTGTACCCCGAAACTATAAACCTCTCAACACCTAAAATATGGAGTATTAATCAGAAGCTTTTCGATAGAATTTTTTACTAAAGTGAGTATTATTGAATTCAACTGGAACTCGAAAAAAGTGAAAAAGCCAAAAGTGATGTTAAAGAAATTGAATTTCAAGAACAAAACTTTTTTATCTTGTGCGCAGAAAATGCATTTTTTTTCCACATAAAGGAGATATATTATATTATACTATTCAAATGGTATAAATGGTTCAATGTGTATTTATAAGTAACACTACGTGTGAACGTACAATAATTATTGAACCAAAAAACACCCAGAAATATTGTCTTTTGACAAGTCTGGCTTATTGCAATAAAAAGAGAACTTTCACACTTTGAAATCAAAAAGATGCCATTCCTCCCACTTGAAGTAGTTCCAAAGTTGCACTGGGTTGGTGTTATGGATTATGACCTCAGAGTCTTTGATATCATCATGACAACACCATTTGGCACATCATACAACTCATTCCTCTTGCAGACTGCAAAAGGTAACGTCCTCTTCGAGACCTGCAAAGAGAACTTTGCTGCGGAGTGCCTTGAGCGAATAGAGCATGTCATTGGCAAAGAAGGGAAGATCGACTATATTGTCCTCAACCACACCGAACCAGATCACTCGGGGTCACTTGTCCACATTCTTGCAAAGTATCCTGAAGCCACTGTCATTGCAACACCAGCTGCTTTGAATAATGTGAAGTACATTGGACACATCAAGGAAGACACAAAGACGCTCTCTGCACCAAAGATAAAGACACTCGACTTGGGAGACATCCACCTTAAGTTCATCATCCAGCCATTCTTGCACTGGCCAGACACAATGATGACTGTCATCGAAGAGCTCAAAGTGTTGGTCACATGCGATGTCTTTGGTGGGCATTGTGCTGATGACCGTGTCTTCAACGACAAGATGATGGACAGAATTGCTGATATGGATGAGGCGTACAAGCATTACTTCGACTGCATCTTTGGTCCATTCAAGCCATACGTCTTGAAAGGAATCAACTTGATAGAGACACAGATGGGATTCCCAGTCGAGGAACTCAAGGCAGTCTGCTGCAGCCATGGCCCAGTTCTGAGAACAAACATCAAAGAGAACATCGAGAGATACAGACAATGGGCACAACCCCAAGTCCTCAAGAACAAAGTTGTGATTGCTTATGGCAGTGCTTATGGATACACAAAACACATGGCAGAAAAGATAG